CCAGGGGAGGGAGCAGAGGGCAGGCTTGCCCAGAGAGCCTCCATCCAGGCCAAGAGGCAGGGGGACAGGGGCGGGTCCTGCATAGGCCCAGCCCCCCTTCTCCCTGCCCCCTCCCACCTGCAGCCTTTGCCTTCCTCACCTCTCCTTCCCAGACAGGCTGGGAGGCTGCTGACCCCGCCAGCTCTGGCACCCTCTCCTCAGGCAGCCGCTGCCATCCCAGCTTAGACAGAGGGCCATGGCCTGGGAGGCCCCGCACCTGCTGCCCCTTGTCCTCCTGGTGCTCCTGGCTGCAGGTGAGGGCAGAGGCAAGGGGAAGAGGAGGAGGGATGCTAGTGAGGTGGTGTGAGGGGAGTGGGGAGGAGGGGCAAGGCGGGAGAGGCGGGAGGGGGTGCGGGGGGGGGGCACTGAGTGGAGCAGAGAGAACTTCCTGAGGAGGAGACCCCTCTCAGCTCTGAGGCAGGCAGGGGGCTCCCTGACCTGAGGGTTTATTCTCAGGCTCCTGGGAACAGCAGCCAGAGACTCTGCGGAAACTGGAAGGGGAGGATGTCTCTGTAAGGTGTGAATATGGAATCCTGAATGGTTTCCAGAGGAAAACCTGGTGCAGAATAACATCATCAGGAACTTGTACCTTATTAGTCACCCATCCCAGGCTCAGCCTGGAGCCCGGAAACCCACGATATGTCATCAGGGATTACCCCAGACAGGGGTACTTCACCGTCACCATGTCTGCGCTGGCAGAGAAGGACTCCGGCTTGTATTTTTGTGGACCCTCTGAATCTTCCCCGTTCGACATTCCCAGAGGCATCCATCTGACGGTCTCTCCAGGTGAGTCCTTCCCTCTGTGTGTGCTTCTCAGGGTCCCTGAACCACAGGAAGCTGATGCTGGAAAGGACCTAGTCAGGTCCCCCAGCCCCCGTGTCTGAACCCCGGGCCCTTCCCGAGGTCGCCGCTGGTTACAGGCAGCACCAGCGCCAGAACTCAGACTGCCATCTTAGTTCGGTTCTCCCTTCCCCAGCGCACACACTTCTCCGAACACTTGTTGTTGCTCACAGGGCTCCCCGCTAACTCATACCCATCACCAAGCTGCCTCAGGCTTGCGCAAACCTGGCTTATGGGTCTATTCCGGGCACCCCTCGCCCTGACCCTAATCCCAACCTTCTCTCCAAGGGCTGTGCTTGAGGCGGGTCACAGGTCACTGTGAGGGCTCAGGGAATGGGGACAGGCAGGGGACACACACAGTGAGCAGATGTGGGATTCGGGGTGAGGCTGGGAGCTGCAGGGGCCGAGGGCTCAGAGGGCCTGGGTCCCCCCTGCACCCGCCTCTGAGACATGAGTGATCTTCAGCCTCAGTGTGGGAAGCTTGAGGCTCTTCCTAACCCTGGGCCCCTCCCCCATATGCCTCCTGAAAGCTTCAGAGGTGCACAGCCCCCCTACATTTCCCCGTGATGGTCAAGGGTTAAACAGTACCTTCGAGACCCCCGCCCGGCTGCAGAGCCTGTCCAGCTGTTCGGTCAGCCGGGGGCCTGGCGCACACACATCAGCTTCTCAGTCATTCTCGGCCCAAGCCTGGGCTCATTGCCCACTGCATGCAGGGCACGGGGCCAGGCCCTGGAAGGGGAATGGAACCCTGAGACATATAAATAAAAGGTTCTGATGCAGGGTGGTGGGTGGCATAATGGAGGCATGTTGGATGGAGGCCCAGAGGAGGGAGGGGACCAGGTGAGGCCAGGAGTATGGACCTGCCTGCAGGACTCCCCAGAGGAGGTGACACTGCAGGCCAACGGGGGTGGGGGGGCAGTTGGGGTCGAGCAGGCGGGCAATGAGGGCAGTTGGGGTCTATTTCTCTTCTGAAGCCCTCACACAAGCCTCGAATGTTACCGCACAAGTCCCATCAACCATCCAAGGAGAAAAGGAGCTGAGCCTGCCGCCTGCCCTGGCCCTTTCCGAGCCGCAGGTGATGGCTATTGTTCTGACTTGCGGATTCGTTCTGAACAAGGGCCTGGTGTTCTCAGTCCTGTTTGTCCTTCTCCGGAAAGCCAGGGCCTCAGGTGAGTGGGGGCCAAGGCCGGGCTTGGGGTGGAAATCAATGAGGGGACCCAGATGGTAGCTGCAGACAAGAGCTCAGAGGTTCCCCAGAGCTTGCCCCCTGAGTTTGCCCACTTCTTTGCCCAGGAGGCAGGCCCAGCCCCGGGAACCTTGTGAATGGCGCTGGGCTGGGCTCACAGGGACAGGAAGACCTGGGGGTGGGAGTGGCCAGCATGGTTTTGGCTGCTTGGCAATCCAGTCTTTTCTTCAGAGGAGGGAGGGAGGCTGAAGCCGGGACTGGCATGGATGGATCACTTGCAAGTGCTGTCTATTTCTCTCACTCCTCAGGCGAGCCAAACCCAGGGGAGCAGCAAAGTCACCCTTCCAGGAGCTGACGGGCATGCCTTCCTCCCCTAGCAAACATCACATTCGCTCTTGTTCCCCAAACGAACAAACAAATAAACTGATCTCTCAGGGAGGTAAAAGGCTTCAGAAACTTCTTTTGTGAGGTCTCTGCCCAGCCCCTTTGTTACTGAGAGAAACGTACTGAGCGGAAAGTGTGGGGAGCTGGGAGGAAGGAGAGTCACTGAACTAATCAGTGGCCCAAGAAAATGGCAAACTATCTTTTATAAAAAGTAAATACAACAACTGGGACTAGAGGATCATCCAAACCAGGGGTCCTCAAACTTTTTAAACGGGGGGGGGGGGGGGGCAGTTCACTGTCCCACAGACCGGTGGAGGGCCGGACTATAGTTTAAAAAAAACTATGAATAAATTCCTATGCACACTGCACATATCTTATTTTGAAGTAAAAAAACAAGACGGGAACAAATACAATATTTGTATTTGCATGTGGCCCGCGGGCCGTAGTTTGAGGACCCCTGATCCAAATCAACCTTGTGCTTGTTCCCTCGCTGCTGTTCAGACCCGCTCTGCTGGGGCATCTCTGGCCCTCCAGTGAAACCTCTGGCAAACCCATCACTCTCCTGGTCATTTTAAAAAACATTTTATTTTTAAATTAAATTTATTGTGGTGACTTTGGTAAATAAAATTATATAGGTTTCATCTTCTGGTCATTTAAAAAAATAGACTATTTTTTAGAGCATTTTTAGGTTCCCACCAATATTAAGGACACAGTACAGTTCCCATATGGGCCTGTCCCCACAGGTGCACGGCCTCCCCGCTATCAGCATCCTAGTCCCTGCCCATAGTCACCCATGGACGCACTTCACCGTTGGTCTGGTTTTATGGAATTTATTTTTGTCCACCTCCATCCCCTGGCTGCACTTCCTACCCGATGCCCCATCGGTATCCTCTTAATATAGTGAATGCATATGTCCTTTCACTCTACTTTCCATACATGTATTTACATTTGTGCGGGTCCTTGAAAACACATAGAAGTGATTCATGTGCTTTATTTTATACGCATTTCCCTCTGAGCTTCTGGGAATGACTCTCAAAGTCACACTTATCCATAAAAAATGTGCACTCCCATGGAAAACTGTATCGTCTCTAGCACATTCTTCCTGGTTCTCTGATTCTTATTCAATGAGAGCTATTTTATAACTAGAAGCCCAGTGCATGAAATTTGTGCAGGTAGGGGGTTCCTCTTTCAATCCAGGACCCCTCGGGGAATGTCAGGCCTAAACCGGCAGTCAGACATCCCTCTTGCAATCCGGGATGCTGCATGCACCAGTGACCATACTTTTCATGGGTGTGAAAGGCATCTTGCTGTTGTATGGGCAGCTGCATTTTTTAGCCCTGATTATAAAAAGCAGTACATAACATGATCCTTCTGAGGCAGTAGTGCCATTTTCCCCATCTTATGGGTGGAAAACTGAAGCAGAGAGAAGTTAAGTAATTGGCTTTGTCACATAGTTATAAGTGTCTGAATCAGGGCTGACCACAAAATGTGCCAGCCAGGGTCCATGCATGTCATCGCTGCATCATCCTGTTTCTTCAGTGTTAGAGTAGCCTTGCCAGGTTTGAATTTTTAAATCTAAGAGACGTTCCCATATATAGGTCCCTAGGCCTGGTCAGCAATCAGGGCCATCTGTGGGGATACCAGTGGGCAGGGTGATCAAGGGGCCCCACTGGCACCCACCTTGGCTTGCGGCCTGGCACCGCCCACTGGCCGTCCCCACCCCCTGATTGCTGCCGTAGGTCACCTTCCTCTTGGGTTGGGGGGGGGGGCAGTGTGCATCATAGCAACCAGTCGTTCTGGCTGTCATTCCACCATTCAGTAGATTTGCATATTAGGGTTTTATTACATAGGATTCTGTGAATGATAGGTAATTGATAGACATACAAATTCTGTCTTTCTTCCTCTATTGTGGGAGGGATGAAAACCCCACACTGGTGAGTCTCCCCATGCAATTCATTTCAACATTTCTTCACTCCATATAAGAAGGTGTCATCGGTATTCTTAAGAAGCTAAATTTATAACAAGGAACTGAAAGCTGTGCTAGCCCACCAGCTGTGTTGAAACAACAAGCTAGAAAGCAGTGCCCTCAGACAGAACTTCCTGGTTTGATGGAAATGTCCTGCATTGTCCTGTCCAACACAGCAGCCACCCGCCACGGGAGGCCGTGAACGTCTGGCACGTGGCCAGTGCGACCGAGGACCTGAATCTTTCTCAGGGGGTTTTAATAAACTCTAATGTAATAGGCACGTGCTTAATGGCTAACCTATCAGATGACGCAGCTCTGGATGACAGGTGAACTTTCACAAAACCCCGCCCTCTCCGAGGGCGCAGATTTCTGTGTTGTGGTTGTGGATGTCAAAACTGCATCTTTGTCCATTGTCAAAAGTACAATATTCAAAACATGATTGTGCTTCAGATTGGGAAGGACACTTTAAAAACATCCCAGAACATAAGTCGTAAAGGGAACATGGATGGGCTTACCTACATTGTCTAACGCTGGCTTCCCAAATATCAGAAACAGAGCTTTCTCCTAGCAACAGGTCGTGTTGGGAAGCCAGTGTTCGACAGTCCTATTTTAAATATTGTCCTTTAGCCAATGTGCAGAGATATATATTCTCATGCATTATCTGGTCAGCTGGCAAAGCTTTCAGTTCCTGTTATAAACTTAGATTCTCAACGCCGATGAAAACTTTTTAGAGCACACGGTACTTTTACACCTGGGTAGTTTGACTTATAGTTCCCATTTATTTAAAGCAGGTTTTCCTCTTAAAGAGAGAATCACACTTCTGATTTTTAAATATTCCTTTCTCAAAGAAAGGGCCCATGCCCGGCCGGTGTGGCTTAGTGGTCAGCCTATGAACCTGGATGTCACCGTTTGATTCCTGATCAGGGTACATGCACGGTTTGCGGGCTTGATTCCCAGTAGGAGGCGTGCAGGAGGCAGCTGATCAATGATTCTCTCTCATCATTGATGTTTCTCTCTCTCTCCCTCTCCCTTCCTCTCTGAAATCAATAAAAATATATTTTAAAAAAGAAGAAGAAGAATAAAAAAGAAAGGGCTCAGTTATTTTGGTGCCTCAGTCCTTTTGCCTTTTTTTCTGGAGTCTCCTCTGCTGCCGCCTTGTCCTTGTGCCTCAGCAAGGGCAAGTTCCACCCATAGGGATGGATGAGGGAGCTGGGGTGGCTGGGAGCTGCTCCGCAGTGGGCAAAGCCTGGAGGTGTGTTGAAGGCAGAATTCAAATGCTCACCTCAGCTATGACATCTCTGTGAAACCCAGGACAAGGCCCCGGTCTTCAATGCAGCTCAGCCTCCACAAGGAGAAATGCTAGAGCTGGAGATGCACTCTGGGCCCCCTCCCCATCAGACCAAGGAGCATGTGCAGACAGCGCTGCTGGGTGTAGGGTAGACAAGGCAGGGCTCACACCCTATAGGGTGACAAGGCGGGGCTCACACACTGAATGAGACAGCCGGCCCGGC